CAGGAAATGTTAGGGTTTAGGGTTTAGGCCTTAGGGTGCTTAGGTCTTAGGAATCGTTAGGGTTCAGGGTTTAGGTGAACTCGTAAGGCTGCAGAGTCCATGGCTTTACGTTGTAGAATCGAGATTGACAGCTTCGAGTAGCTGCCATCGGTTTTTCTTTAACTCTTTACGAGTCGTTGCAGTCCAGACCCCCTTAAACCCTACTTGCAGGCGCATGAAACTTAGTAAGTACAGTTGTAAGTACCTTAATCGGGGTTATAAATAATTGTAAGGATAGTTAGTATAGTTAGCTTGTTTATAGCCCTAGTTACTAAGTCCCATGAACCTTTAAGTAAACCCTAAACCCAAAAATGAAGCCTGACCAAGAAGCCCTCAATAAATGTAGGGGCCTTCATAGTTAGACTAGGGTTTGGGGGTATATTATGTTATACCATAATCATAATAAGGAGCCCCCAAAACCCTACACCCTAAACCCTAAACCCTAAACTCTACGTTATTCGCCGAGGCTTTGGCTTCCTCTTCTCTTCCCTCTTCAACAAGAGGGTTCAAGCCGATCCTCGGATGGTGCAATCAGGGTTTGGGGTTTAGGGTTTCGGCTTTAGGGTTTAGGGTTTAGGCTTTAGGGTTCAGGGTTCAGGGTTTAGGGTTTAGAGACTTCTGTCCTAGGCCTTGGCGGTTTTTTATTGGGGGGTTCGAGGATTGTGGGGTTTTTGGAGTTTGCAGACTTTGTCCTCGAGGGTTTCATGGCGAAGTTTGAAAGCTGTTTCCAAGCCTTTTTGTTTAGGGTTTAGGGTTTTGTCATCAGGTATGTATGTTCGCTGGGGCGCGCATGTGTATGCGTGTGAGTGCGTCTCTCGCCGCTGAGCTTACTCCGCAGTCAGAATACTTCCAGCACGAGGAAGTGGGGTTAGACTCTGGGATGCCCGGACGCGTTTACTGGCAGGTAAAAGTGTTTCCTTTTCTGTTGCCTAGGCCTTTGGTTGTAGTGAGGCTGCCCGGTGTTTTGCAAGCCTAAGCCTAACAGCCGCACATGAAGCCGCCAGGATTGAGTGTTTAGTTTAGGGCCTGGTTTACTATAGGGCTTAGGTTTTGTTTCCAGCTTACGGTGCGTATGATGGCTCAGGCTTGAGATCTCAGAGCTTGGGTCGTACGGCTGAGTCTGAAGGCGGCTAGGCATACGGTTCCTGCATCCCTGAACAGCACAGAGCTGCGACGCATCGACAGGTTCGAGACTACGATGCAGAGGTGGAGCACTGGCAGGACGGGCCTCAACCTTAAACCCTAAACCCTCTGAACCCTAAACCCTAAACCCTTAAACCCTAAACCCTCTGAAGTGACGTCTGGGATCTAAGGGCTCCAACCATCTGAGTATTTTTCGAGGTGCAAAACCCAATAACAAGTGGTTTTTGTGACGGTCACCAAGTTTGAAAATTGAGCTACCAAAAACGTAACAGTAGACCATGCCCCCTTCCAAGATGGTCCTCAACCCCAAGCCGTGAAGTCTGCATGCACTTACCACCGGCGGAGCCTAGGTTGTTCAGTTCAAAATTGTAAGGATCGACATCGAGCTCGAGTTTTCTCAGTTTACAGGCGCGCTACCTCAACCCTGAACTAAACCCTATAAAAAAGATAAACCCTAAACCCTCGACACCCTGCGCCAAGGAAATCTTCGTCTTGACAGAAGACTATAAATGCTCCATAGGAGCCCAGATGGTCTTAGAAAGACCATCTCTGCGCAAGCGGCACCTCCCCGCGATTGTGTTCTAGGGCTCTGGCATGTCTGTTCGCGTTGTTTCCGCTCTTAAACACCAACCCTAAGGGTCCAAGTTTTCCTTGGGCCTTTTTTGGGCACCAAAAACCATATATAAGGACTACTTGGACCCTTAGGGCAACTTAATGCCAGGCAGTTATAATTACCAATACTATTTTGGGGGTTCCTTAGTATCATTATGGTATGTAATATCCCCTCAAGTCGCCGAAAACCTACCTGCTAAGCCTTAAACCCTCAGCCGTTCGACAACAGGAAAATTCGGTGTCATCAAAAGTACTTGGAGGATCATAAGTAAGGTTACAAGTCCCCTAATTGGGGTTATAAGTATAGTTACCTTAGTTATAACCCTACTTACTAAGTCCCATGAACCTTTAAGTAGTAGCCAAACCCAAAACCCTTAAAGGCACTCTTACAAGGACCCTAGACCCCAGACCCTCACTTAAAGGAGCCCTAAACCCTAAAAATTTGGCTTTAAGGAACCTTAAAGCCCTAGAAATTTGGGAAGGAACCCTAAAGCCCTAAAACCCTTGCTTAAAGGAACCTGAGAAGCCACCAGGACATAGATCGACCACGGATGGAGCAGCTTCAGGTGGCTTTATGACGGTTTAGGGTTCAGGGTTTCGGTTTAGGGTTTGTGCAAGGGTTCTGATTTGGCGTTCTGACGGTTTCTGTAAAAGCGTTTTGGCAAGGCCATCTAGGGTTTGACAAGACTTTTGTGGCTTATACTTCTCAGCGGTGTTTGCAGTTTGCAAGGGTGTTAAGGTTCAGGCTCAGGTGCGGGGGCTTCGGGCAATTCGAGGATTTTTAGTTTCAGGGGTTCTGTTGGGGTCTCTGCGGCTGTATGTCGAGTGTCAGGTCCTAGGGTCTACTTGCGGGTCGGGTATCTTGTTGTCACAGAATTCTCTCGTGAGGAGGGGTGTGTGCACTTGGCATAATCATTGGTCAGTAATATGTTGAGTGTATAGTTCGAGATTTGTTGTATTCGGAGGCTAGTTACACAGCCTTAACGACACCCATGGACCGGAATAGCACCACAGAGTTTTTC